GCAAGATCTAACAACATGCAGACTACCAAAGATCCACTTCAAATTGAAAGACACAAATAGGTTAAAAGGAAAAGGACAAAAAAATATACGCCACATAAGCAGTTATAAGAGAACTGAAAAGGCTGTATTAATACCAGACAAAATGGAATTTAAGACAAGAAATATCATTAGAGACAAAGAGAGACATTTTATAATAATAAAAGGTCAATACACCAGAAAGACAAACCAAATATAAAGGTATATATGGTTAAAAACAGCCCCAAAATACATGAAGTAAAAACTGACAGAATTGAAAAGAAAAAACAGACAATTTAACAATTATAGTTAGAAATTACAAATGTTCTACTCTCAGTAACTAACAGAACAAGCAAGCAGAAAATCAGCAAGGCTATAGCAGACTTGAGTAACACTGTCACCAACTTGACTTGACATTTTTTAACACTCCACCAAATGAGAGAATATGTATTCTTTTCAGATGAATGTGAAAGAAAGGTTCTCTAGCAAAGACCATATGCTAGCCCATAAAAGAAGTCTCAAAAACTTTGAAAGGACTCAAATCATTCAGAGTTTATTCTCCAACAAATAAATTAAAAATAAACAAATAAATTCAGAAAATACCCAATGCGTGGAAACAAAGTGGCACATTCCTAAATAACCCATAGTTTCAAAAAAGAAGAAATTAGAAAATATTTTGACTAAATGAAAACAAAAACACAACATATCAAAATTTATGAGGTACAGCTTAAGCAGTGCTTAGAGGGAAATTCAGAAGTTGAAATATCTATATTAGAAAAGTAAGGTTTCACATCAATAATCTAAGTTTCCACTTTAACAGTAGACAAAGAATGAATTAAATCTACAGCAAGCAGTAGGAAGGAAACAAAGATCAGAGGGGAAAGAAATCAATGGATTAGGAAACAGAAAAGCAATAAGAAAATCAAAGAAACCAAAAGTTTTTGGGGAAAAATAATCAACAAAATTGGTAAACCTATAGCTAAGCAAAGAAAAAAAGAAAGGTGACATAGAACACCAAAACAGGGATGAAAGACGCGACATCAACAACAACCCAAATTAAAAGGATTATAGAAGAACCAATTTTACACAATTTTTTTTTTCAGAAAACCGGGGGAAAATAACTTTCCCACTCATTCACTGAGACCACTATTACCCTTTGACCAAAGCAAGACAAAAATATCACAAGAAAACTAGAGACAAATATCCCATGTGGGATTTCACATGAAAATCCTTAAGTCACTATTAGCAAATAAAATCCAGAAACATATAAAACAGATTAAGCACCACGAAGAAGTAGGACATCTGAGTCTCCAACGCCCTCTATATTCTGACATCACCCTTCAAATTAATGTAAATTAACAGTCGTAGCTTGGCTGTGTAGTCCCTTCATTTGCATACTAATCAATACAAACCTTCATTGGTGGTTGTGTGTAGAGGGTATAAGATAAATCCTATTGAAATTATGGACGTCAAAAAGTTTAAGGATACCATGAAAAAAGCAGAAACCAAGCATTTTTTCCAATTCCAACCTTGATGTTGAGAATGGAGATGTGTGACAATGATTTAAAACCAAGATGAGGGGTGCCTGGGTGGCTCAGTCGGTTAAGCGTCCGACTTCGGCTCAGGTCATGATCTCGCGGTCCGTGAGTTCAAGCCCCGTGTTGGGCTCTGTGCTGACAGCTCAGAGCCTGGAGGCTGTTTCAGATTCTGTGTCTCCCTCTCTCTGACCCTCCCCTGTTCATGCTCTCTCTCTGTCTCAAAAATAAATAAATGTTAAAAAAAATTTTTTAAAACCAAGATGAAAAGGTAGGTAAGCAGTGAGCTAGATTTTCAGTTCAATTATATCCAGAGTTTAAAACTATCAATCACCAAACAAATCTACATGAAACATGGTTTAGGGGTTTTCTCAGAATGAGAAAGGAGACACCCCAACTGTTGGAAAAACGGCACTGGGTCTCCAGGAACACAAGTGAGACTTTGAATAGATGGTGTGTTCCTTCCTCCAGCTCATGTTAACACAAGCTCTGAAACCCGGGACTAATTTGGAGGCTTATCTATATCTGGTCAGCAATTCAGGTGACAGTGCTTTCCAACCCTGTGGAAGGTTCACTTCTAGGCTCTTGCTTTTAGAGATGGTTATAAGCAGGAAGATGATAAACCTTGCCATCCATCCATCCAACCACTACCCAACTTAGTCTGGTTAAAAAAAAAATGCACGCAATCAACCCACAAACACAGTCCAGAATACAGTTCAGGGTAAGAGATATGAAGGAAAGCTATAATAAATGTTTTCAAGACGTACTTGCATTCACTGAAAACTTGCATATCCATGTCTAGGAATCTGAAAAAAAATTCATATAGAAACAAAAGTATTTAGGTGGTCATTCATTTCTGCATAGTTTAGTATTACAAGCTTAATTATAACCATTTACACATTCAATGCAATCCCTATCGAAATAACACCAGAATTCTTCACAGAACTAGAACAAACAACCCTAAAATTTGTGTGGAACCAGAAAAAAACCCAAATAGCCAAAGTAATGTTGAAAAAGAAAACCAAAGCTGGAGCCATCACAATTCAGGACTTTAAGCTGTATTGCAAAGCTTTAATCAAGACAGTATGGTCCTGGCACAAAAACAGAAACATAGATCAATAGAACAGAAAAAAGAAACCAGGAATGGACACACAAATGTATAGCCAACTAATCTTTGACAAAGCAGCAAAGAATATCCACTGGAAAAAAAGACAGTCTCTTCAGCAAATGGTGCTGGGAAAACTGGACAGCAACATGCAGAAGAATGAAACTGGACCACTTTTTTACACCATACACAAAAATAAATTCAAAATGGATAAGGACCTAAATGTGAGACAGGAAACCTTCAAAATCCTAGAAGAGAAAACAGGCAGCAACTTCTTTGACCTCAGCTGCTGCAACTTCCTACCAGACGTGTCTCTGGAGGCAAGGGAAATAAAAACAAAAATGAACTACTGGGACCTCATTAAGATAAAAAGCTTCCACACAGTGAAGGAAACAATCAACAAAACTAAAAGGCAACTGACAGAAAGGGAGAAGTTATTTGCAAATTACACACTGGATAAAGGGTTAGTATCCAAAACCTATAAATAACTTATCAAAATCAACACCCAAAAAACAAATAATCCTGTGAAGAAATAGGCAAAAGACATGAATAGACACTTTTCCAAAGAAGACATCCAGATGGCTAACAGACACATGAAAAGATGCTCAACGTCACTCATCATCAGAAAAATACAAATCAAAACCACGAGATACCACCTTACACCTCAGAATGGCTAAAATTAACAACTCAGGCAAAAATAGATGCTGGTGAGGATGCAGAGAAAGGGGAACCCTTTTGCAGTGTTGGGAATGCAAACTGGTGCAGCCACTCTGGAAACAGTAGGGAGGTTCTTCAAAAAATTAATAATAGAATTACCCTATGACCCAGCAATTGCACTACTAGGTATTTTTCCAAAGGATACAAAAACGCTGATTCAAAGGCACACATGCACCCCAATGATTATAGCAGCACTATCAACAAGAGACAAATTATGGAAACAGCCCAAATGTCCATCGACTGACAAATGAATAAAGAAGATGTAGTGTGTATATACATATACACACACATACAATGGGATACTATTCAATGATCAATAAGAATGAAATCTTGCCATTTGCAACATGGATGGAACAAGAGTGTATTATACTAAGCGAAATAAGTCAGAGCAAAGAAAAATATATGATTTCACTCATATGTAGAATTTAAGAAACACAACAGATAAACACAGGGAAAAGGAAGGAAAAATAAGATAAAAACAGAGAGGGAGGCAAACCATAAGAGAGTCTTAAATACAGAGAACAAACTGAGGGTTGTTGGAGGGGGGGTGGATGGGGGGACGGGCTAAATGGGTGATGGTCATTGAGAAGGGCACTTGTTGGGATGAGCACTGGGTGTTGTATGTAAATGATGAATCACTGGGTTCTACTCCTGAAACCAATACCACACTGTACATTAACTAACTTGAATTTAAATAAATTTAAAAAAAATTACAACTTTCTGCCCACAGCATTAATAAGTTAGCCAATTCTGTACTATAAATGAACATAAAAATCTAAAACTTTGAAATTTTATGCTAGAAGACGATGTTTATTTTGATTTTTAAAATGTAATATTTCAGATGAAAGAAAGGCTGTAAAACCATAAAAGACAAAGACAGTCTCTGGCTGTCACAGGGATTTGAAGTAATGCAAATGTCAGCTAAAAAAAAATTCAGATTAATATTTTAAATAATGAAATCAGGACACAATTATATTTTGTGGCAATTCTTGAAATACTTCTTTTCCACTAACTGCAAGCAAGGATCAAAATTTGGAGTAGCTATTTCCACTCAAAAGCATGTTGAGTAGATCTACAGCTCCATTAAATGTGGCTCATTACAAACATTAAATTTGGTTGGCCATACATACATATCATCCAGATTCATATCTTATTCTGGGTGAATTTCAAACATGCCAATATAACGTTTCTATAATTACAAAAGAATCCGTGACAATTCTATAGACCATATGCAAGTTTATTTAAATAATGTAACATTGCACAGAAAGCTAATTTGTAAGTATAAAAATAGATGGTTTGGCAACCACATATAAAGCACCACAAAGAAGCAGATTACACATACATCATCAGGCCTTTGGAAGATTGAGGCACCATTAATATCTCAAGTAATTTTATAAGAATACTTTGCTCATATGATAGATGTTATTAAAACATCTCAAAATAGATAGAGCCCACAATTTTTCCAGTATGAAGTCTTCCCTTCCAGTTTTCTTGTCAATATATCAATGATTCTTCTTAAATACTGTACAACAGTTAGTCCAAATTGACAAAGGGGCTATCAAAACCACTATCTTGTTGGCTAGACAGAGGAGCAATCAATTTTCTCAAAGGCTGCCGACACACTGATGAAGGTGCTGTACTGCTCAGTTTTTGGAAATCTGACTTTACTAGATCAGCCTTATGATGAGGGGTGTGTCTCAGAGTCATATTGATCTCTGGCTGGGAACACAGGGTTTCTTCTGACAGGTCTGAAGTGTGACCACTCTGACGTTTCACTGGTTGACAAATCATACCATTTTTCTCTGTATCTGAAAGACAACTGGCTGCTGACGAGTGTTGGAAATTAACAGATTCAGCTGGTATATCCAGAGTTTCTTGTGGTCTACCATGTAAAAATGACACTTCGTGACTGTCGCAGGGCAAAGTGGCACTGTTGGAACGCCAGCCCACGGAGTCATCAAAGTCCCCTCCATCCTTTACTGGAGTTTCCCAAACACCCAAACGTTGACTTTTCTCAGATGCAGCATTTTCACTTTCCATTAGTGGATTGCACTTGTATACTTTTAAACCGAGTCTTTCATTAGGACCTCGAAAAGTTGTATGTGTGGATCCAGATTCGGAAAGACTAGGGGTGTACCTAGGTGATGATTTACTTCCGAAGGATCCAAGAAAGGGGTATGTAGCTGAATGCTGAAGTGATTCAGAGCCAGTATCACTGCGGTCTTTCTTCTTGTGCAAAACAAAGCCTTTTTCACCTTCATATGGAACAAACTCAGGAGAAACATCATTTGGTAAAATGTCTAGATGTTTGTAAGTGTTTTCCCCAAACTGAGAGTCTGATTGTGACTCTTTGGAACCCATGTGCTTTACATCGCCATGCTCTGCATCCGCTAACCGCCGTCGTAGGTTACAAGCAGCCCTTCTCTTAGGAACTTGGTCACATGTACTCCTGGGAATACTTTGTATACTGTTTGATTTGCTTTCAGTATGATGCCCTGTATTCTGATTCACATCGTTTCCTTTTGAGTTTTCAACTCCCGTCATCATCTCCGAAGTCAGAGGTACTACTACTACATACGAGGGAACAAAATTAGGCGAAAACAAAATTAGGATAAAGTTAACATTGAAAGGGGAGGAAAAAATTATGTTTTCATGTATTTCCAAAGAATGTATGTATTTTCATCAAAGAAAATACATCAATGCTGGACATTTAAAAATATTGTTTTACAAATCTGCATTGAATAAAGTTAGGTAGTTGTTATTGAAATCTGACATTATTGTTGTGCATCTGATCTATTATTTCCTGCAACAGATATTCTAGCATTTCAGGAGCCAACTGCAAGTTTCCAATTCTGTTCTGATGAAGACATTTTGCTAGAATAAACCCCAACACTCAACAACTACATAAGCATACCACACCCCTGCCCCCCACCACGTCCCCCACCCCCCCTTCCCCCCAGCACACACACACTAGCTAAGACACTAAATCTGACCAGAGGCAAAGCAGCCACAGAGCATAAAATCAGAGGCATATCTCAGAAAAGTGTATCTTGGTCCCTACAGCATGGAAAGGGTTTGCTTCCACTGGGGACATTCACACAATTGCCCCAAATCATTAATACCCAAGGTTCACATCACCATTCTCGAATTTACACAATCTTTGTGTTTTGAAGAATGACTACCAATATCAGACTTGTGAATTTTTGAACAATCTCTGCTTCAAGCTTTCCAGAAGTTCAAAAACCCCATTTCCCCACAGATAGGTTCAAAATCTCCCAGTGTGACTGGAAATTTATCAATTTTTTCACCCATTTCCATCAGCTTTTGCTTTATATATTCTAAAGCTATTTTATCATGAGCAGAAAGAACCCATTTGTAGGTTCTTGGGAGTCTTCTTTACCATTATCAACTGTCACTTTAATCCCTCTCAATGTGAACTATAATGTGCTTAATATTGTATTTAACTCCATAATTTATCTACTATCAACATATCACTGCTTGGCAAATTAGTCTCCATTCCTTCATTTTGAATTTTTGATGTTGTTCTCATAGAGAGAACATATGTCTGGATTTTTAAAAAATGAAAATTATGGTCTTTTAATAAGTGAGTTTAAACTACTCACCTTTAGGGTGATTACTGATGTTTTACGCTACAGTAAGTTTCTATTTACCAAAGCTTTCTAGTTGTATTTTGCCTCTTTCGTGATTTTGTTAGATTGAAAACCTTTTATTCTGAGTTTTTCTCCTACTACCTTGAAAGGTATATATTCTATTTCTCTATTGGTTAGCCTTAAATTTTAATACACATACTTAAACTTGTATTTTTCTAGCAATGGCTGGCGTTAACAGTAACTATATCTTTTCCTTAAAAATAGTAAACTTCTTAGCATATTATACAATATGCTCTTACATCCTTTTGAGAATACTATCTCACATTCTCTCAGACGCTTTAGTTTGTTCTGTTAATTCTGTCTCCAAAGGCATAAGTTCTGTTGGGTTTTTTGCCTTGTCTTCTTTTGAGTTAGGTGTCTTATCATGGTGCTGGCTTTCTATAGATATTTGGTGATTCTTTGTTGAATGCTTATCTTTAAAAAAAA